ACTTACCCCAGATCAAGTGTAGGTTCCGCACCAAGTCAACAACGTCCATACCTTGAACTATGTAATACGGACGGCTTACAATAAGCCCCTCACACTCTAGTAGTACCTGTTGCCAAAGGAATTCCGGCCGAGCTTCACGACGTCCGTTACCCCGCATGAGTCTTGGTCGTACGTTACACACGTGAGTGGTACTGGTAACGGGATTCAGAGTTACAGAGCATGCATCACAGGGATACTCGAATACCTGTAGTAGATTCCTAGCCATCGGATTAGGGACTAGCACTGGTCGGTCCGCTCGGCAGTTGGGGCAAACGTTTCGGGTCAGTTGTTCCAAGCACGCGTGACACATGGTAAACACACAGCACGATGTGGTAGTTACCGTCTCCGACACGGCAACGCATATACCACAGGTGAATATGCGATCACGAATTCCAACGACATCCACCGTAGTGCTGGTCTCGGTGCGCTCTCGCTTTAGCAAAGCAGTGGTGGTCGCAGTACGTATTTCCTCGCTAACAGACAAGGACGGCTCTAGGGTGGAAGGGATTTGTGGGACATCACCGTCATCCTCGTCAAACGATGCGAGCAAGGTCGTATTCAAGCTCTGGTGATAGTCCCACATACTCTCTTCGAGAACTCGGGATATCTCTTCGTCATCCTCCTGTTCAGATGCGGGTGGGTAGTTATTAGTAGCGTCCATTGTAACCTTTGCGTCGTTGTCGCTATGTCTTTGCTTGTATATCAATACACTTACTTGTTGCAGAGGTAATGTAAACTCAACTCTGCTTGGGTGTTGTCATTTTATAGAGACTCCCGCTAGCCCGCGCGTCGCGGCCGGGAGGTAACACCACGGTTCACCATTCAGCCCCAATCCGTCGACCCACCCCTAATCGATGCGCAAAAAAAGGGGTTTTTCGTATAAAAGCAGCTCCCACAAGCCCTTGAACGATCACATGTTGATTTGCAAAGATAGTTTTAGATTTAGGGAAAAAGGGTAGTCCGAGTGAATATTCCAGTCAAAGTATTCTACCCTAACCGCAATCTCTTTCTAGAAAGCCAGTATGTTTACTCCCGATAATAATATGATTGGATGCGGCGGCCCGCTAACCTTGGCCGTTGCCATTTCCCAGATCAAGGAGCGCCGTCGCAGCCCACGGACCGGCGCCACTGTCCTTATCCCGCCGTGCACGCCAATTCAACGCACCACACCCAGTGGTGACCTATCGAACTCGGATGCCAATATTTATGCACCAAAGTATCTGCTCAACGAGTTTAAGAACGGACACAAGACCGTTCGTGTGTACCGCGGCATGGTGGTTAAGTTGTACAAGGGAGACGCTGATGTAGCCTCTTGCGCTACGCACGAGCACCGGATGGCAGTTCTGTTTGCAAACCATCCGCACATTATGAATGCTCGAGGTGACATTGTGTTTAACCAGCCTCGAAATCTTACGGTCCTTCGATTTACCAACCACGGCTTTGAACTTAACGATGCCATCAATCGCGGGATGACGGTTGCGCAGAAGGTGTTGGTGGTATCTCAAATTGCGTCTGCAGTGCAATTTATGCACTCTAAGGGCTATGTGCATCGTGACATTAAGATGGATAATGTGTGCGTGAGTCGAACGACAACCGCAGCGACCAGTGGTGGGGCTAGGCTAAATCATGTAGTGGCTACTCTGGTGGATCTTGAGACCTGTATGGTGGCTGATGAGATCAACCCGCATCACGCAGTGGGTACACGAGCGTATTTCCACCCGAAAATGATGACCAATGCGGCGCAAAAGCGAGCCCCGTACGCCGACCTTAGTGTGTATGAAGTGGACGTGTGGGCCTTTGCCGTAATGGTACTGGTCATGTTTAGAGAACAACACGCCTGGTCTGTCCCCCATGCGTCAAACCGCAACTACCAGAAGTTTCAGAGCTATGTTTTCGATACCCCCAGTGCGTGGGTCGAGGACTTGCGGATTGTTCAGAGTGCCGGGCTGAACCGCAACGTTGTAGCGGAAAACATGGTTTACACGGCTCTTCGTGTGTTGCGTACTTATCACCAGTCTCCACCCACAGCACTCGAAAGTCGTGAGGGTCATGACAATAGTCCGGCCAGCATTATGGAGGCATTTACGTGGCGCCCGTGAACAAAGTATGTTGGGATGCTGGACATCTCGACCATACATGTCTTAGAAGTACTAGACCATGTAGATACGACTTAAGAAATATGAATAAAAACTTGTAAAGCAAACTCTAAACCTCCAACTTTATAGGACACTTTTAACCCTTTGCTCTCTATACAATGACTAGAATCATCGATCTTGATTTACTTGAACCATCTGTCCCCACTTTAGGACACACATTTGCGGTAAGGGATTATTGTCTGTGGATAATTGACCGTGTGTGTACATTTTGAGTTTGAGTGTATTGGCCAAGAAAACCCATCATGAAATCGAGGGTTAAACCCCTAGACCCTTCCAAAATAAAGTAGTTACGGAAACATGTTTAACAAACATCCCTAAAATGTAGTTGGGAAATAAGTTTAATAAACAACTTATATTCGACCACAATTTACAAGTTAAATAAACAACTTGTAAAATATGGTCCAATTTATGGGAAGGACGATGGCAAAGATATTCGTGTGGCGCGAGAACATAGGGTTTAAATAACTTTTATTTACAACAATATATACTCTCAGTGCAGGTCAGACGCTAATGTTTTTATATAAAACAAACCCCTGCGCTCTATCTTGCTCAAAATCTAAAGTGGAGGGGAAACTTGAGATCTTTCATTACCGTGCGCTTAAACTCCGAGTGTTGGTACCAATCGACGTTACTGTCGAGAATCACTGTTTCGTGCCTATCCTCTTCAAATACCTGTCTAACCACAAACTTAATGTCGGGGCACACTCGGCGCCACACGGCTTGGGTGCTTGTATCCACCGGTTCGTGGGTCTCGACAAGTCGGAGGTTGGTGGCGTTTTGGGGAACGCGATCCGGTAGTTCCGGTACTTGGAGGAATAGGACGGACGAT